TATATATATAGTATTTAATTTCATAAGTAATATTAAAATTCTTTGGACTAATGATTACCTGATCATCTCATCTTAAAACATAAAAGTATCAAATTTTTTACATACATGTGTATAATTTAATGATAGTTGTAATTAAACCAAGCAAATCAAGAAAACACATAGAAGAACGGAGATTAGATTAGATACATACTGGACGAGTTTTGCCACTAAGACCCATATTGATGAAGATGGCAGCAACTGACGATAACAGAATACCACTCCCAATTGCTCGAAACCCTAAAACATACCAAAAACCCTATTAGATGGATGAAGTTCCAAAACCAGTTAAATTCTCAAAGCCAACAAAAGCAAAGCGGAATGAGTGATCAGTTGTTGATGAAGATCAAACATAGTTTCAAATCATTACAGAACTGAAAATGAGTACCGAGATTTTGAGGAAAATCAAACGAACGAACCTTGAAAAGTTTCCCATGGGTAAATCACACCATCATTGTTACGATCAAAGAATGCAACGTGTTTCTGTAACACGTTTTGATCACTCTCGATTGCTGCATTCATTTACGAACCACCAATTGATTATTGATCAGATAAGCATAACATCAAGCAGAAATCAAGATTGAAAACCGAATATGATACCTTCAGCTTCAGCCATAAGTGGATTGATGCTTTTCTTAATTATTACTCCTGAATTGCGTATACACTGATTGCAGAAGTATGTGTCTGTAAAGAGAAAAGTTGTGTGAAATGTGAAGGAAGTTATAGAATCCAAGAGAAGGGTGTAGAGGCTTTTATAATGGGGCTCATGAAAGGCCCAATTTCAAGAAAACTGGAACCTGGTTCTTAAGTTGGATGAAGTAAAAGGAACACAAATGTGTAATCTTGCCTCATAAGATTTATTAAAGCCGTGAAGTTGACAATGACATAAATAAAAGTTATTCGTCTTGTTTCTTAGAATATAAAGAAAAAGACATTGTAACCCATTGAAGTTTTCCTTAAAAAAATTTGGGCATTTTGTGGACATAAATGAATGTTGGATTGCTTTTTTGATAGGGCCAGCCCAAATATATTTGAGGGCTAGGACAAAAATAAAAAAGAAGCTCTTTAAGCTTGACATCATTTTTAAAAAGATTCTAGTAATAACTAGATGACAATAAATTTTATAAACAATAAAGGACAAGTACTTGTTATTATTTAAAAAAATATTTATATAGAAAATGAGTTCCAAAATATTGTAGTTAGTTTAAAAAAAGTAGAAAAAATGAAGTAAGTTTAACAAAAAGGATTTATATAGAAAATGAGTTTCATAGTATCCCAGTTAGTTTAACAAAAAAGATTTATATTCGGACGCAAACCGTTTTGAGGGAAATCATAGAACCTAACCAGTGAAACTATTTGAGTGTTTATTCTTTTATTTTCAAAAATAAATATATAAATGCTATATCAGCAAAAGAAAAAATACTGGCGCAAAGATTTGAACCACGGTGGATTGTAATCTAAAGCAATAGAAAAATATTTAGGATGGTCCCTGTGGTTTGGGGTTACTTTCATATTTGGTCTCTAACTTAATTTTTTAACTCGGATCATCCAAACGTTTGAGATTTGTTACCTACATGGTCCTAAGTTAACATTCCGTCCATTTCTCAGTGCCCCGCACGATGGAGGTATTTTCGTCTATTTCTATTTCAACGGGTTTAATACTTCACAATTCTTCTTCCTTTCTCATTCTTCCTCTTTTTCTACCATTACTCTGTAATCGGTCGATAGAAATGGAAAGCAAAATTGCAGCTACAATGGAATGTGATTGTGGACGTGAAACAATAATGCAAACATCGACCACAAAGAAGAACCAAGAAAGGGAATTTTACGTCTGTCCTAAAATGGTAGAATATTTTCTCATTTTTTGGTGATTTTTCATTCGTAACCCTAGTTTTGTATCAGGGACCTAGACATGGCTTTCTTTGTTGGGTGGATGAAGTAATGTTGGAGCATAAAGCGGAAATTGAAAATCGGGACTTAAAGGAGCTTCAAAGACAAAATCAAACATTGAAGTTATGCTTAATATTGAGTTGGGTTCTGTTTTTGGGAATTATTGTGTATAAGTTGTAACTAGAATGTAGTAGCTTTATTATGTTTGTGTTTTATGGTCTGGTATTAGGCTATGTAGTAGTGTTTTTTGTAACGAACTTGTTTTGGATTAATTAAAATGGTGTTATGGTGTTTACTTTCTTGTGATGTACAATTGTTTTGGTTAATAAATGTTTAATACTAAGTTGCTATTATAATCTCATAACACAACCATAACATAAGAATCAAAATGACTAAAACATGACCATGAAAAGTAACATAACGTAACATAACCATTAATATCCATACTACAACCCTGATAAGTACCTAATCATGAATTACATAACTATTTGTAGTACCAAAACAATTACCAAAAGATTAGTGTACTACAACCATAATAATTACCTAAACATCAAATATACTTAACATTACATTAAAAGAAATCCAAAAGATAACCAAATTCCAATTCAGATTGTTTCCTTCCCCTTCCATTTTGTTTTGCCCATCCCTTTCCCTTTTGCCTTTCCACCATCACTACCAACATTTAGTCTTTGCCCTTTGTAGGTCCTTTCATTATGACATGTATTGTTACACTTGGTACATGTAACTGTTTATAGGATCTTAAGACTTTATTTCCTTTGAACAAATCCCCCATTTCCAAAACCGACTTCTTCCTTTTCTTTTTTTGGCCTACATATTGTGGCATGGTGTTTTGGAGGCAACAAAGTAGTTGGGTAAGGAGACTTCACCCACATTGTCCTTCTATTGATTGGTTCAGTTTTAAAGGAATACATTTCCTTCCAGGTTGTTAACCAATAGCATGGATGAACAACGGTTTCAATAATACCTACCTCTTTGTTGTTTTTCCTTATATCCCAATATGAAACAACACTGTGTTTGCATGACATTCCAGTCAATTCCCATTTTCTTGCATGAACATAGTTGTTGAACTGCATCAACAACACATTAATCATTCCAAGGACCAACAACTTGGTACTTCTCATTACCACAATAATTAGCTACATATTTTTCTGCCTCAAGCTTGATTTTTTCCAATGTTTTGGTGGTTGTTGGAGTCAAAAGGCTTGTAGATTTGGCAATTTCCTTTTCCACATTCACAATCTTCTTCATAATGTACTCACCAATGAACTCCAAGCATGTGAGAATAGGTGTATCACGCCCCTCATCTAACTTACTATTGAAAGACTCACATAGATTATTAAGTAAAGCATCACAATGTAATCTCCCTGTCATGAAAAGCAACTGAATATAAATACATATTTCTGAATTATAGTATTGCAACAAATCAAATCTATAAAAGTAGATAAATGTTTCCGACCTGTGAAGTGGGACCTAGCCCAATGTTGAGGTGTTATCTTACTCAACCACTCAAAGCAGTTTTTATTAAGCTTTCGCATTTGTTCCATACCTTTCTGAAACTCTGGGACATTACAAGTAAGGGCACACTTCCAAATAATGTCCTTGAAATCCTGTCCCCTCCAACGTAATTTCATGTTTTTGTATATGTGATGAAGACAATATCGTTGTTCCGCACAAGGAAACAATTTTGCAATCATTGGTAGCAAACCCTATATTTAGCATCAACTAGTGTTAGTAACTAAATAACAATACCATGGACATCAAGTGAATTGAAAGTACCTTTTTTCTATCAATCATAAATGTGAAATTTGAGTTGGTTGTTAAACCTAAATCATCCCATAAATGACTTAAAACCCATTTCTAGGAATTTAAGTTCTCTGCTTCAACCATAACATATGCAAAGGGATATACACCATTATTACCATCTAAAGCTTGTGAGAGGAATAAAATTAACAACATATAAACATAAGAAACACCAAAACACACATAAGGAATGAATAATTTATCACAGCAGCTAGTATTTGACTCGGATGTGATCCTTTGATGAAGGAACCATCAAGGCCTAGAAAGTCTCATTTTCCTGCTACAAATCTGTTCTTCAAAGCACCAAGACAGACATATACACGCTTGGAGATTCTTGTCTCAACTTCTGGATTGGGTTCACTTTCAACATCAAGGATAATAGTGGTGTCTGGGTTACGATTTTGTACCTCCAACAAGTAATCTCATAGTAAGGTGTATTGAGTACCATATTCACCCTAACAATTTTTAAGGTTGGTTCTCGTGCCTTAAATGCTTTCATCTTAGAAGTGGCAACCATATACTTACGCTGGAGTTGTTTCCTTAAAGCCCTAATAGGAGCATGGGGGTTTGTTTCGATCTGTTGTATAATATATTTTGTTAGAAACTTGTAATCACATTGTCTGACTGCCCTTGTTTGAAGACACTGATGTTCCTTGGTGTATGTTTTAACACTCCATTAATGTTACACTTCCATTTGCTAATATAAACAATCCATGGGCATATATTGTCTTCATCGACTATTTCTTGATTGGTTCCACTAGGTCCTATACCACCTAGGGTTGGTATGGTTCCCTGCACACACACCTCTCACCCTGTTTTTGTTATTTTCTCTAAATCTAATTCCTTTCCCATCTGTATTGCATATAGTTTCACCAAGTCATTGAATTCTTTTAAATTATTTAAAGTATGATATATATATATATATATATATATATATATATATATATATATATATAAACACACACACACGCTAGTGGTGTACTCACGCAATGCGGCGACGGCTATTTGTTTGTTTCCGTCAATTAGTTTTCGGCCGAAAATTAGTTTCATCTCGGCGTTCCAAAAAAAAAAGCAAAACTATGTTGTTATTTAAAAAAAAACTACATTGCAGTGGACGTTCAATGCGAAGGACGATAAATAGTTTTTTTAAGAGAATAGTTTTTCGGGTAAATATTTTCATAAACATATCCTATTACCAATAATACGCAATGTTTAATCACATATTTTCTTTTAGGGTTTACAGTTTAAAAATTAAAGATCGCGATTTACAACATATGTATTTAGTGGTATGATTGTAAGTGGTATGCTCAATATGAAGATGGCGTGGGAAATTGTTTATTTAGAGATTTTGGTTTGGAATTTTTATTGTACATTGCTCATAGAGGACGTTGTTTTCTGTTAAAATATAGGTGCAACAACTTCTAATTTAGACTTGACGACTTTTGTGACGGTATATGCGACAGTGGTGCTACAACTTCTCATTTAGACTTGACAACTTTTTTTGTGTATTTAAACATAGTATTTTCCTTAATAAAACCGCTTCCTTTTTTTTTAGAAAATAATATAAAAATACAATTAATTTCCCTAATAAAATCATTTTCAAGAAAATAATATAAAAGATTTTGAACCCATTTCATTTTGTCTTCCGTTGACCGGTAAAACACATACCTATTTCATCCAAGTATTTTGAATTTATAGCAATTTGTTAAAAAAAAATAAAAATTAAAAATTAAAAAAATAAAAAATAACTTTTCATATTCTTATAACAAAATCAATAAATAAAAAGTTTTAAAGCCGTTAAAAAAACGTTATAGAAATGGGCGGTGGCTTATAAAATACATAATAAAAGCATGATAAAAAAAATATACAAATTTTAATACCAATTTGATTTTTATGTATGATCAAAATAAAAAAGAAAAACGATTATAATATGTGATGAAAAAAAAACCTGAAAACTCATTCTATGGAAAAGAGGTGCAGCATTATCATATTGGCTAAAAAAACTAAAAAGCTTTTATGTTTTGTAGATTCATATCTTAATATGAGGCCAAAAATTATATAAAATACAAAAAACTAAAAAGATTCCATGTTTTATAAATTCAAATCTTAATATGTGGCAAAAGTTATTTAAAATAATACATTGTTTCGAGGTAACTAAAGCTTTATTCAATCACTATCGTTGGAACCATGAAAGAGATTTATTGACATTTTTCAGTGTTTGAAATTAAAATTAATTCAATTCAATGAAATCATAAATTCGTAATACAATTTCAAAAAAAAGAAAATGTTTGGTTTTTCCGTTAATTAAATGTGCATGATAATAATATGATATTTTGATTTGTTATCACTGAAGATATAAATGATTTATTTTCTAATGAAATAAAAGTAATTATTAAAAAAAAGTAAGTAAAATACAATTAAAAAAATATAAACATCATATTTATTTGACAAAATTGTAAAAATGGTCTCTGTGGTTGGCAAATTTATGTGTTTTTGGTCCAAAATGAAATGTTGGTGCACCATAGGTCCAAAATTGGATCTTTTTAGTGATTTTTGTCCCTTTACACCTGAAAAGACTTTTATACCCCTCCTGAATTCCGTTTTCCTTTTCTTTTAGTTCATTTATTATTTATTATATAAAAAAAAAGATAATTTACTCTAAACGAAGGGCCCTCTCTCTCGCTCGCTCTCTCTCCCCCCTTCGTCTGTTGCTACTTCTTTAAAACACACACAAACACATACCATCAAGAACACCTCCACCTGACCTCCTCCTGCCATCAACGTTCGCCCCCATCACCATCCTTCTCCGACCATCTCCATCTTCTCCACCGTTATCCCCCACCAGATGACTCTCTTTCTCAGACCTGAAACCCATATCTCGTTGGAGCTATCTCTCTTCCCTCCCATCACCGACTGAGAAAGAGCTCTAGAAGCTCCAACGTTTTTCACCACCAGTGAACTAGAAAACCATCGTCGACAATCTCCCCAACCACCTGCGTTTATCACGCCTTCTCGACGGGGGCTGATTATTTTCGATTTTGGATTTAGAGGGGGCTAAGTTTTTTTACCTGAAAAGATTCTCAGGTTTTGATATTTGTTGCAGGTTCCAGGTTTGTTCTTGATTTGGTATGGTGTGGTCTAGTATCGAATTTCAGTTTGATTTGGGGAGAAGATGTTAACCGGTTGTCTTCTCCGACAATTAGGGTGGGGTAGGTGGGATTTTTTTTTGTGATGCAGATTTAACAGGTGGTGGTGTTATGATAACGGTGATGGAGATGGCGACTGATTATGGTGGCTCGAATAGATTAACAAGGGCGGCTTTCTGCCACTCCCTTTCTCGTTGACTACGAAATGGGTTTGATCTTTCATTGTTTATGTTGTGAAACCAATAAGATGCACAAAAAATCAGGCTACACTCTACATGCTTGGGGATCTAGAAAACAATGGAATACCGAGAGAAATGATTCCCTTGACTCTATCTGGCCGGAAAAGACTAGATGTCGAGCGACAGTTGTGCCCCAATCAT